GGGAGGGCGGCCCGGCTGAAGCTCCTCCTGGAGGGGACCGGACGGAGGACACGTTGCATTCCTCTGCAGCCCTGGAAGGGGTTAAATCCGGAGCCTTTTGCTAGGGAGACCGCTTCTTTGCCGCGCCGCAGGATTGTCCTGTGATTGGCACCTCCCCCCTCACCACAGGACCTCGACGGGACGTCTGATCCCGCAGCTGCGCCTTATTTTGCTCCGGGGCAAACAGCCCCCCCCCCCCCCCCCCATTTTACTGCCCGTGTGACCGGGGCCTGAAACCAGCTTCCTTGATGCTCCTTGATTTTCTCCGTGAGCTTCTTGACCCCAGAGATAGTGAGAAGGAGGAGGGATTTGGGTCGGTACATCAGGTCAGTTCTAGTCCTCGTTTGGCCTGTGTCACACTCATGATAGCCCTACGTGATAGGGTCATCAGTGCGTACGTAAACATCTACAAATCCAAGAAGGATATATCTCTTTGATTTACTCATGGTTGAGGCTGACTATCAACAGCTCCACGTGAGTCTTTGGTGGCTAGTCCAGAACATTATTTTATACAAGTGCACTATTTTAAGTATTGGGTTGAAATATTCTACGTTGAATACTGAAAGGCTGTGTTGAATCCTGAAACTGAAATGCTGCAAACTATTTTCTGTCTTAATGGTATTAAATTGAGCTTTGTTTAAGAACCATTGTCTCTCTCTCTAGTAGATTCAGTCCCTTGCTAGTCTCCACCAAACCAATAAAAGGACTCAGGGGAACGGGGGGGGGGGGGTCCCAGGAAAAGGACCTGGTCCCCAGGATCCCTCAATAAAGGTAAGCTGCGGCAGCCATTTTGTGGCAGCCATTTTACGGCTGCACCCACCATGCTGTGTCAGAATTAAAAAGCTGCCCACAGGCCCCAAAAGGTTGGGGGCCACTGTGCTAGCAGAAAGCAACGACACCTAGAGATTGCAGGGTGGAAACTGGGTGAGTGGGGTTTAGAGAGGGAAGGGACCTCAATAGGGTATAATGCCATGCAGTCCACCTTCCAAAGCAGCCGTTTTCTCCAGGAGAGGTTGAATATTTGTTTTCAATAAATAAAAAAGCAGTTTATGTAGTCCAAAGATCTCCAACTGTTTGGTGTATATATGATGTGGTAGAACTAACTGTAACCAAGGTCCACAGCCACTCTGGAATGGCATACTTTATGGTAAGAACGTATGATTGTTGACACGCCTTGTTAATAACTACTTTAAGGTTCATATTTTAGGTGAAAGGAGTTTCCAGGATCTCTAAAGGTGGAATGGAATGCTTTCTTCACTATCTTAATCATGTTTAATTATAACACTTCACGTACTCAGATTCATAATTATCTGTGTCTCTGATTCCAAACCTGGCCCTACAGCGTGGATTTAAATATCCGCACAGTGAAGCTAGTTAAAGAGGGAGGCGTTTCTGCAAATGTGAGGGAACTCCAATACTTGTAGAAAACAACTCTTAAGTGTTTTGAAAAGGAAAGTTTAAAATAAAACAAACAAAAATGTTGTAAAACAGGAAGATTTTACAAAAGTAACTCACAGCATCTTGGCAGTTATTTTGGATTGCCTAGGCAACAGCCTGTGGTTGCCAAGGTAATCCAAAATGGCTGCTGAAAAGGCAAGTTTGGGGGAGAGGAATGGGCAGGCAGGAAACACCAGAAGGAAGAATGGGGGTAGGGGGGGGAGAGAAACAACCCGAGAGAGGAGGGAGGGAAGAAATAAAAGGAAATAAAAGCGGAAATAGGGGCTGGAAGAGGGCATAGAAAGGGAAGAAGCTGCAAGGGAGCAAGAGGGAAGGAAGGACTAAAGGGAAAGCGGCAGATGAGGGGTGAAACTGAGAAAGGTGGGTGGGAGGGAAGGAAGGAAGGAAGCAGGGAAAGGGGAGAGGCTGCAGGCTCAATGAGGGGGAGGGAAGACTGAGAAAGTTTTGGGAGGAGAACCAGCTGGGAGGGAGATAAGGCTTCTCCCCTCCATGAGTTATTGTGGGTCCCCCCCCCTGTATTCTAATACCTAAATACACATTTGAGTCAGGAAACTCAATTTCAAAAACACGTGGGGAAGAGAGGTTACAAAGAAGTCCCAAACTGACCGTAACAGCTAGGGACAGC